AGATGTTCCCTCAGTGGGCGCTCATCATATTGAATATTATATTTCTCAAATAGTGATGAACATTCAAAAATTCGGTTGGAAGGGAAAGGGGATTCAGAATCCATAAGTGGGACTGTCATAAAACTTTATCAACAAAGTCGCAAGAGAAAGAGTTCTCTATTAAATCCAACCACATGAGCACAAAAAGTGTATGTTCAGTGTTTTACTGCACATTATTCTGTCAACATCCGAGGAAACTATACCGATCGTTCAGTAAAGCTCTGCGTGTCGCTAGCCAGCAGGAAATCTCTTGCTTAGCATGAAGTTGCAAAAGGACATTGTTTTCGTCATAAGGGATTACCTGTAGCATAAAAGAGTTTAACTAGTGATAAAATGATCAATCAAGTCCTGTAAATGAACTCACTTCTAACGCCACATGGGCAAAGTGCCCACAGACAGAACCAAGCTTGAAAGGAGCACCGCTTTCGTTGAAAACAATTGAAACAAAATTGTTGGCGATCAGCTTTTTCTTCATATTGCAATTTGGATCATTCTCAGCATGTGGCATTAGCGTCGCAACAAGGAAAGTCTAACAACAATTTTAGAGTAGGTGACAGTTCAAAAAAGGCAAAAACACATACAATTTTGCTTAATTCGTCCTGATACTCATAAGTATAGGATCCATGCTTCCCGGGTAGCAGTCCTCCTGGATGTTTGTCTAAGGGAATTGGAGTGCCCAACAATCTGAAAACATCAATAGTATATTATTGGCATCCCTAACCAAGCCAGGCTGGTTAAAATTTGCCATAATGGCCATGATTAGAAGTGAAAACTAATATAATGGTATTATGCCAAGATTGATGGAGATTGAAATTAAAGCTCAATCAATTAGGGCAGCTATAAAATGTACTGCAGACTGTCTGCTAACTGCTCACTTCAAAAACTTGGCGTATCTCTCCGAACCGTAGACATTCGCTAAGATTTGCGCCTCAGTTTCTTGATACATACCCATATAAAGTACTCCTACAGCGTGGTATTCAATGCCAGGGATCTAAAATCTTCTGAATACACTATGACTTTATCTCAAATTATTCAAGAAAATCTCTTACTCGATCTAAATTACGCAAAGATCGTTGTAACACTTCATCATTTGGTTTTCTGCCAAGACGTACAGCGCCAGGCTGATTGACATAGTGAAGAAGAAGACTTGAACCCAGCCTTGGCATGGCCGTGCCTAAGAAAAGCAGATGAAACTAATTGAAAAGAGTT